CTTTATTTTTTCTGACTTTTATAATGACAATTCCAGTTTCCATTTCTCTTTGAAGAATTTCAGTCATGGAGCCTTTTTTTTTCTCCTCTCTGGTGGCACATTCTGATTCTTTCCCTTATTTTATCGATATATACTCTTAAATTGTGGATATTTGGTTTAATCCATGAGTTTATTAATATTTTTGCTTCACTCTAGATTGTTGTCATATGAGTCCAATATTCTTACACAGGACACGATTCTTGTTCTCTGTTGCTTTTGCTTATAGCTCATAACCACGATATATGAAATAGCATAGAAAAACTATTAACTTTTTATTAAATTGAATTGAGTGTGTTTTGATAATATGGATACACAAATTTTATATCTCACTTCTAATGTGCCGGTCCTCCCCCCCAATATTTACAGAAGAAGGAAAAAAGGTCCCAGATCTGTCAGAACTGGAATTTGAGGCTAGGTCATCGAAAGACGGAGCATGGTAAGAGTACAGGACTTTTTATACTATTATTAATTTATTATAATAAACCAACCCTTGTCGGTGCCAGCTCTCTTCTTTGTGGTTTCTCTATAATCTTCCTTTCAAAAATTTGGAAGACCTTATTCCAAAAATGTTATAAAGAGATATCTTAATGATGAATGAAAAGAACTATTTGACCTCCATTTCCATTGAGGCACCTTTACCTTCTACTATATTCTAATGCTGAAAATAACTTGGACTTGAAATGGAAACAGTATGCTCTAAGGTGCATGCTAGTGTGTCCATCCAAATAAGAAAGGTAATTTATTACCTTTGTAACATGCCTAGAAAGGTTTTGGTTGTTACTGCAAGGTAATTTCTTACCTTTGTATGATACAATTATGTGTCAAATGGGATGCTCATGAATGTTTGACTCTAATCTGTCAAAAGAAATCGGTTCTGATTCTATAATCATCACATGACCACCTGATGTCCATTTCATCTTGGACAATTTCATTACTCCCTCAATTGAATAGATGTTTAAAACTCCCATATATGCATACTTAATCTTGTGATGTGACTCCATGCACGCAGGTATGATGTTGAAACATTTCTTGCTCACACATTTCTTAGTTCTGGAGAAGCTGTAAGTATTTAGATCAATAGGATTACATTCATGTTCTATTCTTTGGAATTGATGCTAGCAGTAGCTTTTGATATTGTAATAAGATATTGTGGCATGGCAATCAATTTATAACTTAATAAAGGTGCATTGACCTGATTTAAGAATGCACAGAAGAGGTTCCATAAAATGGTATCATGAATTGCAAATCATTGGTTCATGAATTTATGAAGTTTGTCGTTTATTAAAGGAGGTTCGTGTTAGATTTGTTGGATTTGGGGCTGAAGAGGATGAGTGGGTTAATGTAAAGAAGGCAGTGCGAGTGCGATCCATCCCCTTTGAACATTCTGAATGCCACAAGGTGAAGGTTGGAGATCTTGTATTATGCTTGCAGGTGATTTAACACTCATTTCTCTTTTTGAAATTGATCTGGACCTTTACCAATTTTGTAGCTATACTTTCCTTCCTCTCTTTTTTTTGGTTTAATTTTAGGAGAGAAGGGATCAAGCAATCTACTATGATGCTCATGTCATAGAGATTGAGAGGAAAATGCATGATATAAGAGGCTGCAGGTGTGTGTTCCTGATTCGGTATGATCATGACAATACAGAGGCAAGTATTATAACTTGCTAGCCTTTCTTCGTTTATGACAGCATACTAATCACAATAACAAATGTCTCTCAATCTGCTAATACATATTTTCCGGTTTTTTGCCTTGTATTTTCCAGGAAAGAGTTCGATTGAGGAGATTATGTTATATTCCTTGCCAACACAACAGATAGTCTAAGCAATGCCAGCAACCTCTTAACCAATCTTCAGGTCACAATTTTTGCCTTATAAACTGATCTTGTTAGGAGATTAAGGTGATCAGTGGGCATATATGGTAAACATGAACGGCATCATGGAGATGCTGGGAACTATATATAGTTGATGAAATCTCTTGTGAAGAAATAATCATTTTGCATGGTTCAATTGCTGTTTTCTCCAACATAATTGCATGCTCTCAGCTCTCTTGGCCTTTATACCTTTTTTTTTTGAAAGTTCAGTTCTAGTTGCTCTTTAATCTATCGGATAGAGAAGAAAATCTCGTGGAAAGTAGAAAATGCTGGGACAGCTCCGTGGCTTCTGATGCTGTTTGAGTAGAACTTTTGTTGAAGTATTAAAATGGTACTAAAAATTTTTAAATTATCGCCACTCCACTTATGCTGTCGTGACAAGTTGTTCCCTACGAGTTGCCTTTGAAAGTGGCAAAGAATGCTTCTCCATGCTTCTTCTGTGGCCATCTGGTCTCAGATTGGTTTTAAGATGAAGAGGACAGATACTTTAATGGGTTATTTAGAAAGCAAGGCTTTTGAAAGTCAAAACATTTTTATGCAATTTCTTTGAAAATTATGGTCTAAATTGGAGTTCGATTTATATTTGAAAACATTTTTGAGCACGAGTAGGACAGAAATTTTGTGAGCTTATCAAGAGTGAATATTGGAACTGAAATGATATAATATCAAATAAAATCACACCTAAACATTTTAAATATCAGAAATCTCAAAACTAAAATGATAATTTTTTCTTTTTGCCATGTTGGCAATGCCACATGGCGTGGAAGTGCTTGCATAGTTACATGGTGCTGCTGGGCCAGCGAAGAGCGAAGTAATGGTCTCCTCTCCTCCCCTTTAATTATTCTTTTAATAATAAAATAGAGAAATTCTTTACCCTCGCCTCCCTTCCCCTCCATTTCTTTAAACCAAAACATTCTATAAAACCTAGCAGTTGAAGCCTTAAAGTTAAAGGGTCAAAAACATTGCTGAATTATGAGGTGGGGGCTAAAAGCCTCAAAGTTAATAAGGGAATGTTTAGTGGAGGTTCTAACGGTTTTAATTTTTTAATATTATTTATATTTTATAAGTTTAAATTTTTTTCTTAAAAATTTACATTTAAAATTTTTTTTTAATTTTAAAAAGCCTTAAACAGTAAATGTTCAAAAGTTTCAAATCAAAATTTTTTATAAACTCTTTTTTTACTATATTTAAAAGTAATTTTTAAATTTTTCTTCTAATAAAAATTTAAACTTATCACTCATAATACTACTCAAAAAACAAAAACTCTCATAAGTTATACCAAACAGCCTTAAGTTAAAGAGCTTCTCAGGAGTTATTCCAAAAAAATCAAGTAAAGAAAGTCAGGGTAATTAACATTTTTTTTTTCAGAGAATATTTCTATTTATTGTGTAGTTAATTGGAGTCACATAATCAATACGGCATGTAATCTTTTAAAATATTTAAATATGTTGTTGAATAAAAATATATTATATAATTTAAATTATATTAAATTAAACAATTAAAATAATATTAAAAGTTATTTTTATCACTTAACTTTTTTATAATTTAATATACGATTTAAAATATAAAACATAAAACTAATAAAATTTATTAAAACTATATTCTACTACAAAATGAAGAAGTCATAAAATTTATTAAAAATATTTTTATACGGACTGAAACACCATTCTCAATGCTCCTAATCCTAATGTAACAGAAAGACGCGGGGATATAAGAGGAGGCAAATCCTCGTATATATAATATACCAACAAAGCCACACAATTCAGAAGAACCCCACTCCCAAATCAACGAAACAAACCGTACGTAGACTAGGATGGCGACGGCGGAGAAGGAACGTGCGGTCGGCGTACCAGATTTAAAGCATGCATTAATAGACGTTCCAAAGTAGTTAAACTCGAAACCCTTGCTGTTGTTTCGTGAAGATCTTATAGTATTTTTGTTTTCGTTATTTTGATTCATGCATTGATGGTGTTTCTCTCTGTGTTGGGTTGTTTTTTTTTGTTTGTGGATCTGATTTGGGTATTTTGTGCTCATCATATATTTATATTACAACTCTTACCTTCTTCTATGGTTTTAGAACAAAGAGGAAATTGATAAAAGGCTTTAACAAATCATCAGAACCTGTGTACGATTCAGACACAGATTGTTATGACTCAGAGGAATACATGTTGTATGCCAGACAGAAGAGTGAGAGTGAAGTAAGACTTTTTCTCTTAGTAGTTAATAGTGTATTCATTTACCTGTTTGTCTATATATGTCTGACTTGATTTCATTTCATTTCCAGTGCTTTGATGTGTATGTGGAGCCTCATGGGGTAATGTCTTCATTTTGTGTTTACAATGACCTCAGCAAAGTGGCACCTTATCAAGTTGAGGAATGTGAAGATTTTGCGAGGAAGGCTGTTTTGTATCACAACCTTAACAAAGAGCCAGAGGTATGTCTTAGCATAATCTATGACTGACTGTGAGTTGAGGATGTTTTGTTATTTATTTGAGGAATGTTTACCCTTTTTTATTTTCTGCATTATTACAGAGTTCAGATCTGGAGTTTGTCAAGCTTTTGAACTATAACATGCAGTTTGTCCCAATCAAGGGTGAGATGTTTTACCTAACCCTTGAAGCTAAGGATGTGAAAGATCGTTCTGTCAACTCCTATCAGGCCAGGTTTTGGTGTGCTTACTTATATGAAAACAATAAATGGGAATTGATACCAGAGGTGCAAATTTTTAGGAAGAGGAAGAACACTCCTATTATTGGGCAAGGTAATTCGGTCACAGGTTAAGTGTTAGCCAATTACCATAGTCTTTTAGTGATTTCCTACATCGGTGTTTATAGAATGAACGGGTTTTGAATTGGTAAATAAGATCAAGTTTCATCCTTTCTTAGGTGATTTAAGATTTTGTCATTCTTTGCTATTCATGCCAAGGTGAGAAATGATGGGTATGAATTGAAGTGTTTATTTATTTATTGATTTATTTTTGAAGTTTTTGATCTGTCTCAAATGTATTTGCCGATTTGGAACTTAAACCCCTACCTTAATTGGTCTGTTTTATCCACAAACAAGGATACCAATAATATATCATAAGAACAGGACAACATTAGCTCTTAGAATGACAGTGTCTGTGCTGGCTGATTATGTATTTCTATGTTTTTGTTTGTTTATCTTGATAGATACCAAGCTCGTTACCAAAGGAAAATCTAGGCCCTGTGGATGTGGTTGCAATGGAAGTGGTCCATGCAGTAGTTGATTGGCTTTACAGTGTTTTATGTATTGGGCACTAGAGACAGGTACGTTAGCCATTCTTAAAACTAATTGCTTTAACATGCAACATCCTACCATATAATATTGGCATTTTCGAGCCAGTTTTGTATTGTAAATTTTGTTTGGTGATAATTCTTGTTTATATGCATCTCTATCTCTCAGATAGTTTTTGTTTGTCTTGGTAGGCCAATCCATTTTGCTTTGAGTGCTCCTATATTTTTATGAGATTTTGTTTATTTTTAACCAGTCACTTGGCAGAAATTCTTTCTTCTTATCTAGCCATTTATGTTAGGTTCTCTTTGTATTTTGATGATGATTTCAAACCATGATTTAAAAGAGTTTAATCTATTTTTGTGCTAAGTGTGCAGGAAAATTAATCTAAGGTTTCTAATCTTTCCTCACGATTAGAATTAATTCATATTCTCCTTGTTCAGAGTTCTGGGTTTAAACCAATTTAATTTGGTTCGAATCAATCCCAAACTTTTGTTTTCCAAAAATGATTCGAACCAATACTTCTGGCTTCGAAGCAAAAATTCTGGAAGGTTAAATTTTAACAACTCAACTATCTGTTTATTCTTAATAGGTCATAGGGTATCTAAATGTCTTAGCACTTTTCAAGACAAGTCAGAAGAATAAGGTAGAACCTAATTGGGGCAATTGTGAGGTGGCTTTGAAAGGCTAAAAGGGCTTTAATTGCAAGGCTCCCAACTAACTATTAAATGGACATAAAAAATCAGATCTGCCGGAAGGAAGAAGGACGAACTGCTCCAGCAATACAGAAAAACAAGGTTTGTTTTTTAAAATGTTCTGGATCTCCTTCTTCTTCTCTTCTTGTGAGCTTTTGAGTTAATTGTCTTACAAGGGTTTTGTATTCTTCTTGGATTGGGATAATCCTTGAAGGGGTTGAGTGAGTTGAGATTCACTTGTGAGAGTTTAATCTTGCACCCGCAAGCAAGAGTTTGTTACGGTTTAATCTTGCACCCGTAAACAAGAGATTTCTAGTGGATTGAACTCTCGAGCAAGAAGGCTTGGGGAGTGGACGTATTTCGGGTTGGAGGAACCACTATAAATCACGGCTTGATATTCTCTTTCCTTTCTTTTTATTTTTCTACACTTTATTCGCAAGATTGCAGTTGATCTCTATTTTATTTTGCACAACTGATTATACATATATATTGAAAACTTAATTCACATTTTTATAAAAGAAAAGAAATAAGTTTTATATCTTAGGAATTGAGGGGTAGCTAGCTGGGATTACAATTTATTGGATCAACTTTTGAAAAATTGTATGTTAAAGATATGGTTAAAATATAGAATAGGTTTTTTTCTTTTTCTTCACGATTGACAGGGCTCTTTCCATGGAGCAGCACAAAAATTAAGATAGTACGCTAGTCATTAAACAAACAGGTTAGGTCCAATTGTTTGCATGAGATGCATCTTAAATACTGAAGTTTCACATGATGACAAGGAAATTGGGGAGCTATCAAGATAAAGTTTTTTCCTTCTGGAGAGGCAGAACAAAGGCATGTTTATTTACCAAATTCTTGTTGAGCAACTCCAACTGATCCTATTGGCAAATGCCAATTAATGATTGAACTGATTAAGGGAAGGACATTCCATTAGAGGAAAATATTTTGGTGTTATAAATCATTATTTGCTAACTGTATCAAATGGACTGCAGAACTGTTTAGTCATGGAACTAAATATAAGATCAGATTTAAAGTTGGTTGTTTAGTAATATCATCTCTTGCAATGATGTTGAATCCTTGCATGTGCTAGTTGGCTGTTGATTGTTGCCATGTTTAACTATAAATTGAGTAGCGATTGTTTTTATTGTCAAGTTCAATTGTAAGAATGAGAATATTGTTCTGAAACTGTTTCATCTTTATTGCAAAAACATTCTCTCTCTGAGGTCCAATATGCTCAACGCCTTTTTTCTTTTACATTTCTTTTCTTTCTTGATTGTCCAGAGTTATACGTTGTAGGCCTTTATTTATCAAAAAAAAAAAGACCAAATGCAAAAGAAAATCATGGCAATGTTTAAGTTTTCACTTTTCTGTTTATTCTTAGCTACGTGCCATTGTCACAGTTGCCATTTCAACATGTAGGGTTAATAAAAATGCAGAAGATGCTGTTTAGATGGTGATGCGATAACTAATGCCTAACTTTGTTTCAGGTTCCTCTTGCTTTTGATTTAATTATGTAGTCCCTTGTATTTTACCTGTTTTTTTAGTTTTAATGTTTTAAGTGCTAGTAAAATGACATGGTTTTGTGCATGATATATTTATGGTGTTTTTTTTATTACATGCAGGTGTTTTCTTAACTCTCAAGTCTCAACTGACCTTTTTGGAGAACATATCCTTAGTAATTAACCTAGATATATTTAGTTATTATATATCAAGACTGGGCACTTAATAGTTGTACAAAGTTATTATTTTTATTTTCACTCTTATAATCGCAAACTTAATTGATTATGGAGCTAAACTGAATTATATCACCCTTTTTTTATTTTTGGTGAAAAATTATTTAACTTGTTTGCAACTACAGATTAGCATAATGCCTTCGAGATATCTGTACTTTTAATGTTGTCTCTAGAATATCTCTCTAGGTGAGATGCACCCATGCAAGGGCAACTCAGTGCAGTTTTGATATTAAAACAGTCCAATTTCTAGTCCTATAAACTTCTAATTTAAACTTTTTGATTAGGACCCAGACTTTTTGAAATCATCTGGAGTTGTTCTTCATTAGGACTCAAGTTGGCTAATGGCATCAATTTGAGCTGAGAAAGTACAAATACTCTCTTTATTTAATTAGCATTCATTGAACATAAGTTATAGATAATAATAACCATAATGGTGGTAGTGAAACAATGTATTTGTTAAATAATAAAGCCAACAACATAGTCTTTGTTAAAACTAAAGCATATCATACTAATAATGCATATCATATAACACGATCATGGTCCCACCGGTTTCTTCCAAACGACCATCCTCCTGCTTCACAGCTTATCCTGCAGAGAAGATAAAATCATAAGCATTCAAAAAAGTGTAGTGCAGTTTGAACTGTACAGATTGCACTATACAAATCATTGGATGAGGGTCAGTTCTCTGATATTGAGAGCTCTCCTCTCATCTAATAATTATTATTTTAGAATTTAATATAATTTGAATTATAAAACAAGATTCTTGTTTATAGAGTTGTTATGTAAAACAAGATTTTTGTTTATAAATGAAGGGGTGGGCATAAAGAATAATTGGGTGAGCTCCAAGTTTTGATGTAAAATTGGGGGACGGTGGAAACATGAAATTCTGGTCGGATGTATGGGTAGGAGGGAGTGCACTTTGTAACAAATTCCCACGTTTGTTTCTGTTAACCACAGGTCAAAATTCAAATGTTACAGATATGGGAACCTGGATGAATGGCTGTTGGCACTGGAAATTATCATGGAAGTGTCAACTTCGCTCGTGGGAGGAGGACTTAGTAAGATTTGGATATTTTGCCAATTTTCATCATCCCTACTCTCACCACTGTTTTCAGAATCAGTATATTCTTGAGCATAACAAGCATTGTCTGATTTATCGGAATCGTAATCATTATCATCATTATCCATCTCAGCACTTGCCTTGGTTCCCGAAACAGAACCTTCACCATCAAGTTCGATCCTGCCAAAGTTCTCATAATCAAGATCATATTCTTGCACAGCATTAGCATTGTCTCCATGCTCGACCTGAAGAATGCGTTGAGTTAATATGGTCAGAAGCAAAACTACATATAGCTAGTAAACAATATCAAATTCTCAACAACAGTGCAAAGGTACGTTACATAATTCATGTCCTTCACTTTGGGGTAGCAAAATAATCGCAGCAATGATCGATCAATCTTTCCAAAGCCTTGACCACCCCATCTCATCCCCCAAGAATTTTGTATGAGGAAATATTGCGTCCCTTCTTCCTCGCCATACCCCACGATCAACACAGCATGTTTTTAGAGGAAATCTCCTCGCCCTGTGGACGCTTGTAGACTCCCTAA